CGTTTTTACTTGTCCCGGTGTACCTTAATACTTGTTGAAGTGTATGGACTCAAACTCCGGTAAACGTGTTCTAATGGTGGTTTACTGCAAGCCGAATTATTCGATGATTTGGCAGCGCTTAGGTCATAATAAAGTTCTCTGAATGCTTATGTGAGAGTGCTATAAAACAGGTAGCTCCATAGCGGCAATGACGTGATCAGCCAGTATTAGACATATTTATTGGACTATTTCAGTCCAAACACGTGATTTTTACCAAAAGCAATAATATGCATTTAATATTTACATAGAATTTACGTGAATTATACGTCAAATTAAATTGGAATATACGTAGTTTTTTCTCTGATTTTACAGACCGAATCTAAGTTAGGTATGTGGTCGAAACTGTTCTGAATTTTCGTGTAAAAAGATTGTGCAATTTTTTTTTTTAATTTTAGTAGTGTCTCTACCTTTAATGGAAAATTAATAATAAAAAAAAACTTCATGAAGCATACCACCATTATGTTACCACATCATAAACATATTTAGGAAACTGCTTTGTTTTGGTCCAAGCAATTAGCTATTCGTTTGAGGACATAACTCAGGTATTATGAAAAAAATAGCAAAATTATATCCAGTTCGCTACAAACAATAGAACACAATCGTCGTTACAACTAAAATTAACTTCTACGTTTAGCTCTCTCTAAATGTTCCCGTCTATGTTATTATATATTCCTTTAAAGCTTTCAGTCCATGGTTTTAATTTCTTTAGCTAATAGCTTTAACAGAAAGGATTGTTTTTAAAATAAAAAAGAACTATTTTAAGCTTTGCTGTTGCGAACAGAATGCTTAATAAAGCGAAAAACACAACAATTTTATAAGAAAATTAAGCGTAAACCCAAGACATGAGTAAGGTACATATTATGTAAAAAAAGCGTAATAAAGCGAAGCTACCACAATAAGCGTGTAAAAAGTAGTAAACGTGTACTGAGTATTAATAAAGGCTAACCTTGAAGAAATTGTCCTTAAATATTTGTTTTACTTTTATATCCGAATATTAACCCTTTATAAGGCCGAGGAAACTAACCAAGGAATCAAATCTCACTACCTACAATAAAAGTTGAAGTTCACCTACAGAAATACAATTATAATTTGTAAAAAATAGCGCATCAAAATTTCTGAAATCCTGACTGCTGGTTGATCAACCGAATTCACCCAAGTAACAATTTGGGTTTTATGAGGGTTCTGTATAGCATGATTTAGACTTGTATTATGCTATAAAACCTCAATAAAACTTGCCATGTTGCTTGGGCAAGCTTCATAGGTACCATCATCAATGAACCAGTCTCCGCTCATGCCCCATATACCGCTCACTTTTGTAACACTTTTTCTGATTGATTGCCATGGGTACATAAATTTGTATACATACTTAAACTTTAAAAACCCTTAACATTCAGTTATTATTACTGTTGCTGAAATATGTCGTATTGCTGAGAAAAACGTCTTTTTCAGTTGCAAGATAAACGAAAATGTCAGACGTTATGCGTTGTTATTGTTTTGCCTAAGGGAACATGCATAAATGGATTCTGTGACACTACCCCGAATGTCACTACCCCGAACGCCATTACCCCGAATAGTACACTACCCCGAATGGCCACTACCCCGAAATTAAGACAAATGGAAGAACAGCAAGGGATCAAAAGAAGGGTAAATTTTTGAGAAGGAAATTTCCTTTTCTAATTTATACTGAATACAAATGATAGGATTCTATAACATTTCCCAGAAAACCATTCCCCCGAAAACCATTCCCAAGAAAAGCATTTCCCAGAATGAACCATTGCCCAGAAAAGTATGCCATGTATTAGATTGACTATTTTCGTTTATTATAGTCACTCCTGGAATCTTCTTTCGCGTATATAAAAAGAAAAGAAAAACTTCTTAGGGTCTGTTCATAAACTACGTAGACAGGTTAGGGGGGTTGGCAATTGTGCACGGTCCATACAAATTTAAAAAATTTTGTATGGAAAATTGTCTACGCAGGGGGAGAGGGGGTCAATAATCCCAAAAAAAACTGTCTACGTAGTTAATGAACAGCCCTTAAATGGCTCAAGGGGGTTTCCCATCTTTGAAAATATAACAATAGGAACTAATTAATTCTTTGGATATACGATAAAGAAGGGAATATTCCTGTACGCGATGAACGCTTCCAATAGGAAAATGAACGACGTCATCGAATGGCGCATCCTGATTGGCTGACGCAGCCGATGAAAGAGTATAAAAGTAAACAACATTGCATTTCATGTTTCATTCTGTATCCTGCATTTAACCATTGAAGAGGAAGCAGCGAATAAATAAAGGCAGAATTGAGAACAGTGTCTCATTCTTTTCGTCCGAAAACGGAGATTTCCCGAGCATTCGTGCTTCGTCCAGTTCCTGTTCGTTCATCCACTGGTTGCATGTGATGATCGATTCACCTTCCATAAGTTCCACCTAGTGGACACTTTTAAAAGAGTTGAACTTTCCTGTTTCCCTGCTCATCGGAGCCTTGTGTTCGGCAGTTTTGCCATGGTCCTTCGAGAGAGAGAGAGGTTTACTTCGCTGGTGGCTGTAGTGGTTACAGCTGTTGGCAGCTCAACGACTGGTGGCTGAAGAGTTATCAGCGACCCATCGTTCCTACGCTGTCCGCTGTGGTGTGCGCAGCCAACGGTACATCGTCCTTTCGCTGGTAGCTGTGGTGTGCACAGCTGTCAGTGGCTCATCGTCCCACTACTGGTGACTGTGAGGTGCACAGCTGTCGGTGGCTTGATCACGAGTTGTGTCGTGGTCCTTCGTTCGAGAGAGGCAGCCCGTCGCTGGTGGCTGTAGCGTGTACAGCCAACGGTGACTCTTCGATCCATACGCTGGTGGCTGTGAAGTGCATAGCTGTCGGTGGCTCGATCACAAGGTAGGTTTTCGTCTGTGCTGTTGTGGTAAGGGCAATGATCTACCCCAAGAGAGATTGAGTACAGAACAATTCCCTTCTTTTAATATATAAAAGAGAACATAATCAATTCGTTAAATATATGATAAAGAAGGGAATATTCCCTTCTTTGAAAATATAACAAAAGGAAATATAGTTGAAAATGCTAATTTCAAATAACAGACTAAAGTGGTAATTTTTATACGATAGATGGAGGAGATGAAAGTCTAGAGTTGATAGTTCCGTTAGAGTACGGCAGTGTGAAAATTGCATATAGAAAGTAGATAGCGAGCTAGGACAACTTTTAAGGAAGGTACAAATCGGTTTTTTCATCTCTCTTTACCAAACTCCCCCTTTGGAGCGAGATGGTGACGTCAATGGATGGAGAGATCCATATTCAGGGCCTTGCATTGGCGCTTTGTAATAAATAAAATATGTATATTAAGCTGTTCTGTAATATAAAACTGAAATATAATATCAAATGACCAAAAAAAATGATAAATTACTAATTTCATCATCTTTTCTGGGGAATGCTTTTTTGGGGAATGGTACATTCTGGGGAATGCTTCCCTGGGGAAAGGTGCATTCTGAGGAATTGTTTTCTGATGAATGTTATAGAATCAATGATAGTTTTTTATTGGAATTTAGGAACACTTAATTTGCTGTTTGCTGTTCACAATCTGAAGCCTTCCTGCTCTTACAACTGAGCCGCCTCGTTGAATCGCATTCACAAAAAACGAAGCCATCTTGTCATTAAATCGTCGTTTAACACTCAAACGAACATAAAAATAAAGCTGCCCAAATCTTAAGTTTTTTTTTTTTAATTTTTAAGTAGCTTCCGTTATATTTTATTTCGAAGATGCAGAATAATAATAATTCTAACTTTATTTTAAAAATGTAATATGTACAGGGTAAATTATGGCTTCGGCACCCATTGACTGTTTTCGGCAACCGAAATTGAAACGTTAATTTCACTGTATTTCCCCATCAAAACTCTTCGCTGAATGTATTAAGCCGATTCCTTACCTTTTCAGCTTCAATCTGATTACATTTTTACGACTGTGCAATCCTGTTATGCCATATTTTTCTTTAAATTAAATATACACACTACAAAATACGGCTGATTTTGAGTTGCCGATAATAGAACAACTGATTAACACGCAGTTCAAATGGAAAGGGTGCCGAAGAAAAAGAGACTGCCGACAATAGTTACACTCACCTGAGAAGTTTGGAGCGTTGTAAAAACATGTTCAACCCGTTTTGATCAATTCTGTCGATTGGAATTGGTAGAACAGCAAGCAGCAGATAAATGTCATCAAACAAACCTGTCATGTATGTGTGTGATGCTGAGAAATCGCTAATAGAAGTTCGGACGCTGCTTAGACTGACGAGAATACGTAAATTCCCCTAATTTATTAAAAACAAATTAACAAAAGATCGAAAAAACTCGTAGTTTTTTCGGCTTTTTGTGTTTTTGGTCTTTTGTGTATTTCGGCCTTTTGTGATTCGGCCTTTCGTAGTACTCCTATATTATTCTAATACTTAATATGAAATATTATCGGTATAGATGAAAACTGGAATAACCCATCAGCGAGAAACCATTTTACTTTTGTTCTGTATATTTATTGAACATAGTGTTGGAAGTAGTGCGCAGTAATCACACAATAATGCGCTATGCGTAGGGAAAAGTTCGCGAATCTTAGTGAACTCTTGCTTCACTGATTACATGAATCAATTTTAAAAATGCTCTTATATGTACCTAGACATAATAATTATATTAGCAAATTAAGTGCTTCTAAATTCCAATAAAAAAATTATCATTTGTTTTCAGTATAAATTCCAAAACGAAATTTCCTTCTAAAAAATGTACCCTTCTTTTGATCCCTTGCTGTTCTTCCATTTGTCTTAATTTCGGGGTAGTAGGGCATTCGGGGTAGTAGGACATTCGGGGTAGTGGCATTCGGGGTAACGGCGTTCGGGGTAGTGCCACAGAATCGGTCATGTTACCCCACTTTCCCCATGTATAGGTTCTTTTTGTTCCATGCTTCAAACTTATCAAAAATGGTTGTAGTTTTTTCTCATTTTTATTGATTTTTTATGATTTTTAAAATAACTATAATTGATTTTCTTGTTTTTGTTTTGTTTATATCACACAGTACTCTTTCCCACTTCAACCCTTTTCAGTGTCGTTCAACATTGTATGTATGTGCATGAGCCAACCTTCTGCTCTCCTACTAGATGGCCCAATCGATGTTTCCTGCTTGTCCTATACCTACGTTCAACACGTTAGAAAACGCTGACTGGTTTCGTTCGCTTCTCTTGATTTCGCACTACCCTTAATGCTACAGTAATCTTTAGGATGTTTATCATTTCTTGTTTTGTCTTTTGTAATTCACTTCCCATCATCAGCAGTTCTTTATATTGTTCTTTTTAAAATAAAAGAATAATGCCGCGCTGATTTCTAGCAATCAATGCTCATCTAAATGTTCTCACGCATCCGTTTCTGGTTTATCTGCTTTTATGTCACTTCCCTCTTTCACACCTATTCTCATTATTTTTTTTATTTATCATTAAATTTAAGTTATCAATAACTATTTTTATCATTACTTACACCTAAGATTAATATTTCTTTAATCCTCCATCTAAGCCTTATCTAACGCACGCTTCATTTTTTGTTTTCATTTTCATTGTATAAATTAATTTCATGTTATATTCTCTAAAAAAAATGAATAGAAAATTGGTATGTCTGCAGTTCTTTACCTCAATGTGTTATTTCATTAAATAAGATCCGATTGCTGCTGATAGGTTATGCGTCGCCTGCTCAAACAGCAAAACATATGATTCATAACTCGAGTTCCATTATTCGTCACCTATAATAGTTTTCATTTCTTTTTAATTTTCACTTTAAACGGAATCTTCCAATCAACATACTAAATTTAACTTTTTTTGTTTTTAATATTACTTCTTTATGCATATGCTATCAATAGAGGTTTCGCTTGCTCAGCGTACAAACCGTCCACAGCGTATACGCACATATGCTTACTATTACTAACTTTTACATATTTAATAATTAGCTGTATTACTTTCAAGTTACTCACATTCTCACTCGTGGGAAAAAGAAAAAATAACCTAAAAATGGATCAACTTGTCATTATGCACCTTGCCGTACATTCTTTTAAAACGACCATTCTATGGAAAACAATCACATTCATACTAAGACACAAGCACACTAGAACCAATCAAAATTCAACTTACTTGCTATTACCAGAGTTGGCTTTTTTATTTAACTTTAATCCTGACTTTTTGACGCAATGAAGATCTCTTCGTAGCAGCAGTCATCATTTGTTTCTGCATGTTTGCTCATTTTGTGATCTCTGCAGCATCTGACACCATATTAATCACATAGAAATAAATCACGATTTCTAACCTCTTTTCTTCGTTACAGTAACTTGCTTTGCATGTAAAGAAAAACTTGTTGCGTTTTATTAACCATTCATTTTAGGATATAATTGCTCTCGTGTGTAAGGTTTGGAGACGTTTCCCTTTTTTTGATAAATTGAATCGTAATGAGTGCACTAGTAAAGGTAAAAGTTATCATGTGGTAAGACAAAACAAATTTTCCACATTTAAAGATGATTGTTGATTCTGCCTAAGTAAGATCCAGACCACAAATAATAAAGTATAGGCGAATAGAATATATAAATAAACAGTGGACTAACTCGCCAATCCTCAGTAGACAGTCACAGTATCACCTTACCCCTATTATGGAATACAGAATAAGGGTGTTATTATCTTCAAGTGAAACAAAAGTAAAGCCATGGACTCCAATGCACTGTTTGGCACAATATTTGAAATAATCAATATCATTTTACAATCATCAGTTATGACAACAAAACTTGTACCTAGTAAGAAGTTTTACGGCCCAAACCCAAAAATGAACTCGAGCATTTCTTATCAGCAAAGTGCTATGAAACGAAAAATATAATTAACTCTACATAACTCGAGCTTGAAGGGACTATAGAGTTGGAGATATTAACTGCCATTTGGACATATTTGAGGATCTTCTTTCATAAAAAAAACGTATGGCAGGGCCCGGCATAACTGATTCTCTCAACGCCTAACGTAGATGTAGGCGACAACGCAAAAGAACAAGAATAGGTAGATATCTGCAATTTCTTCATAACTCTGCGCGGTATGTGAAGCGAAGTTAGAGTTGAAAAAGTGAGGAATGTTTGTGTTTACTTTTCTTTTTAGATTGACGGAAGTCCAAATGTTTGCGCGAAGTCGTCGCACGCCTTAAAAACAAAGAAGCCAAAACGCAACAATAATTTTTATCCGTGAACTCCGTGCTCACAAATTAAGTTTCGATGGTTGCTAATCACTTCGAACTGGACCAATGTTATAGTGGTTTATCAAAACGCTTTAGTCAAACGGTAAATAATAGTGAGGAAAATGGTTAAAAGCATGTAAGAATGATAACATCTGAGAAACTAGATAATTTGCGTTGCGTTGATTGAGATGTATTAGGTTTTTATGAGAATCATGCATTCTCTATAAATTACGAAGACAAGGCAATGATTTCACACAAATTCTTGTTTAATAAACTGTTGACGCTTGCTTCGAATTTAAAACACGTATGAATTCATGCTTTTAGTTTCCTGAGTGTTGGGTAGTTGGACACTCTAGCTCAGGTATGTATGTGTGGCAAAATAAATTCTGTGTTGCTAAAATTACATGAAAATGACAACAATGGCGTTTAACACACAGACTTACACGGTAACCGCAAAATACTCAATAATGATTTAAAAAAGAGCATTTTTAAGGGAAAATGAGAATTCCCATTAAGAGTAAAATTTTACCCATAAATGAGTAATTGATACCACAGAAATGAGTAAAAGTTATTAATTTGTGAGTAACAGTTCAATCCAATTCCCTCGAAAAAACATACTTTGTAGTCATTATTGCGTACTTTAGTCATTATTAAATATTTTTCGGTTACCGTGTAGGCAAAAATATAAATATATCCATTCGTTGAATTTTCCGATATGATGCAAGCGTTGTTTGGTTTCCGAGTGTGAATTAAACAAGTATATACATATTTTTCGAAGTTTCATTTATCTGAGTCCATGAGACACATATAAAACTGTAATACACTTGCTCTTTAGCTGCCCTAGCATATATTAGTGTACGCTTGTTTGCGTGCGTTGCTTCAGCTTACCAGCAAGAAATAGAACAAACAATAAACATCCATTTTTTAATTATTGCCATACGTTTTCGAAAAACTTACAAAAGTTGCGGTTTGGCCTCACTCTAGTGTTCGTTTCTTAAAGGTTATTAGGTACTCTTGCTATCTAAAACTGAGAACCAATTACAGAAACTTGTCCAATGGAAAAACACGAACACAGGCAGTATTAATTGGTGGTAGGTATGCATTAACCAACAAATAGTTCAAACAAAATATTTAAAAAAAACAGGAGCAACTCTACATTAACCGCGTATTAATCGGACATTAAAATATGTTGCTGTATCAAAATTCGTTACGCGTTTTTCCCCACAATTTCAACCGAACGTCTTTCATCTTTCTTGGTTGCGATTGTTGTTTGTCGTGGTAGTCGTAGTTGTTGCAGTCATCATTTCTGTCGTTGTTCCTAAATATACTCCTTCAGGGCAATTGCTACTGCTATCACCACTGATAGTAGCACTGCTCCCATTTTCCAGCATCATCTTTTTGAAAATGGTACTGTCAGCCCCACCATTTCTTTGCTGAAACTGCTCATTACTGTTTTCATTTTCATTGCTAAGTTTATGTTTCAGATTATTTTGTTCAGTGCTGAAGCTATTTCCGCTACTAGCACTACTGGTTGGAACTTTGATACCGGCGTTATGCACGTTGTTGTTGGTAATACCGCTGTTGCTGCTATTGTTTTTAAAATTAAGGTTACTATTTATAATAGCAGCGACAGCAGCTGCAATACTGTTACTGCTACAGTTACTATTGATATTACTACTTTTACTACTACCATTGCTTTGAGGAACAACAATTCCGTTGGCGGTTGCGGAAGAAGGAGTTAGCACCGTCGTTGCCGCGGTTGATGCCAAAGTGGCAACAGTAGTCATCGCACCAACAACGGCAGTGATCGTTCGCACCGGTAACTGACAACTGCTAGCTTGGAGGTTACATAAAGAAGCAGTAGAGCTAGAAGAGTGTGGCGCAAGGATCGAATTCACGATCGTGGCGTTTGGATGATGATGGTAGAGCTTGGCAGCCGCCATTGGTGTTATCGTCGGATTGGCAGATGCTGCTATAAGGTGGTGTGCATGGGCCGCGAAGGGATGATGCTGGTGCATTGCTGCTGGATGTTGCTGATGAGCTGCTAGGATTATCGTGTTATTTGTGTTGGTCATTAGAGATGGCGCGGAAATGAGGCTGCTGTTCATATTTGCGGCAGCGGCGGCGGCGGCGGCTGCTGCTGGATTGGTAATCAAATTGAAATGAGCGGCCGGTTGATGGCTGGTTGGAGTTGCTGTTGCCGACGTTGCTCCCACTACTTTACTGACAATGCTGTTGTTGGGGCAGTTTTTCAACATATCTCATTGCGTCTGATATTGCGGCATTGCCGCATACATCATTGGTTGCTGGGAGGAAGCAGCAGCTGCAGCAGCGGCTGCTGCTGCTGCTGCCCCATTCGTGGCCACACCTGGAACGGTTTGCATGCCCCACCCAGCAGCAGCCATGTTTGGCTGCATCATGCGATAACCTAAAGGAAAATTTTCATCAACTAAAGTGGTACATCATAGACCAAATATTACCTAACATACCAGCAGTTCCTGCCTGCTGTGGACTGGCTGCCGCGTAGGCATAAGGATATGCATACCCTTGTTGCATATACTGTGCTTGCATTTGAGGATAACCCTGAAACACGAAACAAAAATCATTAATTTAGAACCGCTCAAATGAAAGTTAACTGTAAGGGATTTTTTTTATTATCAGTCAGGTTTGGGCCGAGGGTCTCCGAGTTTTAAGTAATTTTTCCCACAGGTAGATTTGATGATAATAAGAACGAAAAAATTTGAGATGGTTAATTTCCCGGAAAATTTTAGTTAAAGTTTTCGCAAGTTTTCCATTTGGCCCATTTTGTCCGATAAAAAAAATCCCTTGTAACATCTTACCGGATACCAATAGCCCATTTGGCCGTACGCGGAGTAAGGATACTGAGCGGCTCCCGCAGCAGCAGCTTGGGTCAATTGTGGATTTCCACCATGCTGTTGGGCAGCGGCGGCTGCCGCTGCAGCTGCTGCGGCCGCTGCTGCATTCGAAGGTTGCAATGGGCTGCCTGCTATGCTGTTAATACCGATTCCTACCATACCGGCAGCTGCCACAGCGGCATTAATTCCATTACTTGCCATTTCGCCACCGTTCTCCTTTCCCCAGTAACATTTGACTGGAAATCCTTGTATTTCGCTATTGTGAGTACCTTCTATGGCTCTTGCTGCGGATTCCTTAGAATTAAACTTGATGAATGCGTAGCCTTTGTCTTTGAATACTCGAATGTCTTGGATTTGCCCGAATAATCCGAAGTGCTTATGAATAAGGTTGTCAGTAATAGCATTTGGAGGAAACCCGCCACAGTATACGGTGGTGTTTGTCGGTCCGGTATTATTGTATATTTCCTCGAAACCAGGAGTCTTACCGCTTTTAATGCCTGGAAAGATACAGAAACGCGTAATCAGATTGGGTTGGTGAAGCATAAAACATACGGCATGATACTAAGTCTATGTAAGGAGATGTCCGTAAACCTGGAGACGAACCAGCCTCTGGCTGAATATTTTGATAAAGGGGGTATTCGTGGAAAATGACACACACATAAACCAGCTGTAACTTTTGAACTATTATCCCAAATGACTTGAAATTTTCAGTAAAGAATGCTTAGTCTATAGCGTACATATGTGATTTTTATGAGAATCAGAGAGATGATTTAACTCGAGTAATGTTTATGAGAACAACAAACTGTCTAATACATTTTGTACAGTCCCAAATTTGAAATCAACGGTTATGCAAGGACATTCTTTTTTCATTATTGCTGTTAAATCTTGGAGCCAACCCATATTTTTAGCAAATTAATCACTTCAAAAATTTGGGTCATTTTGACTTTCTAAATTAATTGAATCAACCTTTCTAAACAAATAAAAAATCATTCCTTTTACGTCAAACTAAAACAGCTTTTTATGTCGTAATCAGTAAATAAATTGAACAATAATTTAACTGAATATATGTAATCCTTTTATTTATCTACTATGATCTATTATATTATTATTATTCTTTACTTTTGCATATTATTTTTTCCTCCTTTTCCAATGGCAAAGTACTATATATTTTCGAACGCCTCCAACGTTCATAACATGGGTAGGGTAAGTGAATCGGTTATGGCTGGCACTAATGCTTCAGTTATTGGCCCTAGTGACTAGCTCAAATTTGAAATAAATTTTCAATTTTCATGTCAAAATCTTGTAAATTTCCAAGGATGATTTTTTTTTTTTTTGATGAAAATCCATGATACACAGCATTTCTTTTGAATTTTCTTTTATGGTGAACACTTTCACAATAAATTTGCTTCCAACTGTATTTTTTATCAATAGCTGACAAAATTACAAGTAATTTTTGTTAATTAACATTGACTGTACAATGCTTGGTCAAAAGTTATGAGTTTTTGAAGTTTGTGGTGTCCGAGAAAATCGGAAAACTTTAACTAAGCTTTTCCGGAAAATTGGCAACCCTGATTTTTTTAAATTTACTTTTGTTAATGAATGAATGAATGAATGAATGAATAAAAATTAACTCTACCTAAGTTGCGAAGACCCTTCGGCCCAAACATGTTCGGTAATTAAAAAAAAAATCCCCAAATGCCCACCTTGATCATGAGCTGTTGTACTTCCGTATTTAATTGAAGTACCGTCGAACGGTGTTTCTTTTGACGTTTTTTTTTTATTGTGTAAGCGAATATGGCCGTATAAAATACATAAAATAGATAACAATAGGATGTGATGTACATATGGTGTGTAATGAGAACCATATGAACGATCAAGATTATAGAAAATGTTCGCCATATAGCCATCAAACCGCAGTCCGAAATATAACAGAGGAACTACTGTGGACACGTGATATTTTTTTTGTAGTGTAGATAACTACTTCGGCCTAATCGCCCATTTTGGGCCTAACGAACAGAAAACTTTAAATAAATCCATGATTTCAGAGTTAACAAGTCAATTATCCGTTTGGTACGATACTTTAGTTAATACGCTACGGAACGAAGTCAATGAGAATGCGTGATATGAAGGTTAGCACCCATTATTCCCAAAAACAAAAGAAGCGCTCCGACCGAATAAATTTTTATCTTTATCTGATAGGCCGAAGTGAATTCATTGGCGTTTCAATGCGTTAGGAAACTTGTAGAAAACATCAATTTCATTTTGAAAATGTAGCAAATCAGAATTGTTAAAGATTTCCATGTACAGTTTCATATTGTCAGCATATATTAGCACATTTAAACGATTTAACACAAACTTCACGTCATCCACAAATAAAATAAATAATAAAAGACCTAAATGAGATCCCTGTGGAACTCCAGAGGTAACATTAACTGGCAAAAGTGACACAGATTGCACGAAATTATACTTTTTGTTACCAGGTTTGACGAAGGTTTTTTTCAGGATCAAGTCTATCAGTGACTATGTGAGAAACAATTTTATCAGTATCGCGCGAAAGTCTGTTAATGACATGAAAAATCTCAGCACTGAATCTTACTTCATGTTTCATTCAGAAATAACAAAAACTATAGAACTGGAAAGAACTGCTCATGTTTAAAAGAATGAAAAAATCCTATGATCATCAAATTTGGATGGAATAAATTTAAACAACAAACCTTTTGAAAGAAAGAAACAAATACAAGCAAATTTAAACTCTTTCCCGCCCAGTGTTTTGACAAAATTAATTTAAAAAAATCAGTATCTCTGTAGTGTCTTGAGATATTGGTCTGGATTTTTTTTCGATAATAGAAGAATTAGTACAGACTATGTTATAATATTTTAACAAAAATCGGTTGTAATTTCAGAAAGTTATAGCTTACAATACCAAAAAGGCATGGTGCTCTAGAGTAATCATGGGCAGAAAGAGTTAAATCCATATGTTCAAGAGTGCATTGGTGGCTCGAGTACTGGAGTTTAACGTTTTTTCCTTAACATGTAATACTTTGGCAATAACCGTAGAGAAGACACACAAATACATTTTCGCACAATGAAGCAGACAAGACCAGTACGTGGGACATAAATTTATGTCATGTAGAATTTTGCTGATTTCTGGCTAATTATAGCATTTATTTTATGTTTATTGCATGGAATTATAATATAAGAATGAATACTAACCACTCATAAGCATAGATGTTAAAATTATGCGTAAATAAAGGAGTTGATAATTTACTGTCACACGCAAGCTTGCAACTATAAAATGTAATACAATGAATTGTATCAGTTACCAAGTTATATGTCTCCACTTCATCAATACTAAATTCAACGCGGTTTCACAAGAATGACCTTCCCGATATCCCGATTGTTCTGGTATTAACAAACTATTAAAATTTAAATACTCCAAAAGCTGGCCTTTCACAACAAGTTCTAAAATTTTTACTTTTTTATCATGAGCTGTTTTTTCATGTAACTATTTAACGGTATAATTAGTAATTTTCAACATTTTTGCCAACTGGTCATTATGCCAAACGCCATTATGTCAAACGGTGTAGAACTGTCACGCCTTAACATTATTGTAAGCAAATCAACCTGCATAAAATCGCGAAAATAATGGATAGGGGAAAGTGGGGCAGTTTCGACATAGGGACAATATGACCACCCTACTAAAACTCAACAATAATTCTACATAGAGCTGGAATTAGGGTGTACCAGCTTTTTTAAACAATGACTTCTCTCGATGATTTCTAGAAAGTCAAGAGTCGGCTACGCAAATCATGTTGATGTTGATTTGTTTGATTCTCCTATACTTAACTTAAATCTTTGTTTATTAGTTAGGTAGCTTCCGATTTTGCAAGTTGTAGTTACATTTTTATACCTGGGATCACGACATTTTTACCTAGGGGTGAGTACTTAAGGGGGTCAGATATTGATAAGTCTAAATAACACTGATGAAGACTGCACATTGTAGTCGAAATACGTCATGAATACCAAAATTTATTAAGTGGGGGTAAATGGAGGATAACCTTTTTCGCTGTATTATAATTAATGACTGTTACATTGGACGCTTTGTTATACATAATCTAGAATCCCTTTCACAGACCTCAGAATAGAGTACCTAACACCGCAAAATCAAAATCGCAAAATTTGCTTTAAAAAAAAACTGACTGGTACCAAACCAAGGTTGCAAATACTTTTAATAGAAACTGAGCGATCGATTCAACCTCTGATGGTGAATAGGGGAATGTCAAAAAAATTATGTGAGCAGAAATTTTTGCCGTGATACATAGAAAGCGGAACACTTTTTCACTTTCCTGAATTGATTCATCTGAGATACTCCAAAACTTGATCTACAGTTTAAACATTTAATTCTGCTCATTTGTGCAATGATCCTGCTGGTGTTCAAGAATATTTTTGTTGAGAAAAATGAAAAATTATAATAATAACAGTGGCGTCGCCTTAACCTCAATCTACCTGTGCACCAACTCTCAAAACATAAACAATTATCAAACTATTGTTTGCAATGGATGGATATCGAATTAACAAGAAGATTAGATGTGTTTTTCAACCGATTCAAGTATGAATATGGCATTAAATCTGGGTTTGAAAGTTTGTGCATAGGTAAAAAGTGAGGATACACGACGCCACTGAATAATAATTTACTGCCGTTATACGCATAAGAGTCGCACGGTGCATAAGGATTGCATAGAACATGGGACAGTTATGCGTATAACGGCAGTTTAGTGGTTATAATTTTCCGGATTTCTTGTGTGTGAATAGTTTAGGTGCAAATCTGTGAAAAATCGAATAATAAGACAATTCTCGCGTCACTTTTGAAAAGGTCCTCCGCTGTACAACTTGATTAGTCAAAACGTCCTATGTGGTTTTTTTTTCTAAATTGTAGCATGAAATTCAAAGAAAAATTGTGATTTGCGTTTCTACTGAATTTCCAACGTTAAACATTAAAAATAGTATTGCAAAATGTATTGTTTCTAAACAGTTCGACAGTGAGCATGCCTAAGGGCGTAAACGCGATGATCGATTCTCTTCTTTAATAAAACAGCAAAAAAGGTTATCTTCCATTTAATTCCACTTAATTAATTTTGGTATCCATGACAGATACGTATTTCGACTACAATGTGCAGTTTTTATCAGTTTCATTCCCACTAAAGAACTTATCAAAATCTAACCCCCTTAAGTACTCATCCCATAGGTAAAAAAGTCAAGATAACAGGTATAAAAATGAAACTACAATGTGTTGAATCGGGACCTACCTAACTAATAAAAACCAAAGATTTAAGTAAAGGGCGAACACGAAATTATTGCGACACATTCAACAGGGCATAACTTTTTTACCATTGGGTAAAAATCAACCAAATTTTGCACACTTTCTTATTGATGTGTATTGTGTACATGCTGTCAAATTCGAAGTCGTGCTTTTCGATTCAACGAAAATGGAGGTGAACCAACGCGAGTTAAGAGAACAAATTCTTTCCAAACACCTGGAATTTCCTGACCTGTCGCACCGGCAGTTGGGAAAAATGTTGAACATTCACCATTCAACCGTCTCCAGAGTGTTGAAGCGGTTCCAGGAGCAGTTGACGTTGGACCACGGCAAAGGAGCTGGAAGAAAACCGGGACCGGAGAACAAAAAGACGGAGGGAAAGGTGAAGCGGATGATTAAAGCAAATCCCAACGTCTCAAGCCGTGATTTGGCTAAAAAGATCGGCATGTCGCAGAGCTACGTCCAGAATGCAAAGAAGAGAGCTGGACTACATACATACAAGGTACAGAACTTCCCAAACCGCGATGAGCGGCAACAATCGACGGCTAAAACTCGGGCACGGAAGCTCTACGAGAAGATGCTGACAAAATATGGCTGCTGTGTGATGGACGACGAAACGTATATAAAAACCGATTTTAAGCAAATTCCGGGGTTGGAGTTTTTCACCGGCAAGAGCAAGTTCGATGTGGACGAAAAATTTAAGAAGAAGAAAATGTCGAAGTTCGCCTCCAAATATCTCATTTGGCAGGCCATCTGCTCTTGCGAACTGAGGAGTGAGCCTTTCGTGACAAAGGGCACAGTAAATGGCGAGATCTACAAATCTGAGTGCCTCGAGAAGCGCCTTTTGCCGTTCACTCATGGTTATAAATTGTTTATAATCCCTCCTTAACTTTAACTGAAATGGTTTTGGAACCTTACATGAACGTTTGTGTGATAAAGTTTTAACCTTATGTATTATGGTTTTTAGGAAGCGGACCTTACAAATAATGGGTTGTTAAGAACTATTACCATTTCAAATTCTTGTTTTCTCCATACATTTTCGGAAAGAGAACTATATTAGAACGTTTTTACTTATGGTTTGAGAACATTAATGGTTATTGTTATGGTAGTCAGTAAGGCCCATGAATGGTTTTGTAACATCAATCAACTTTATGTGGAATATATCGCGAATTGGTTGCCTGTAAATTAATAATTATCAGTTCGCGATATATTCCACGTAAAGTTGAGCGATAATACAAAACGATTAATGGACCTTACTGACTACCATAACCATAATCATTAATGTTCTCAAACCATAAGTAAAAACGTTCTAATATAGTTCTCTTTCCGAAAATGTATGGAGAAAACAAGAATTTGGAATGGTAATGGTTCTTAACGACCCATTATTTGTAAGGTCCGCTTCCTAAAAACCATAATACATAAGGTTAAAACTTTATCACACAAACGTTCATGTAAGGTTCCAAAACCATTTCAGTTAAAGTTTAGGAGGGATTATAAACAATTTATAACCATTATTGGTAAGGTCAAGTGATGGTTTGCGTTTATGCGGGTTTGATGGAGGGCATCAAGCGAAAATGCGTTCAATTTTACACTCAAGGCTCCATCGATTAACTTTTCTTTTGATTTTTGAAGTAAATATATGTTTAAAACTACCCTAAAATTTTGGCTTGATTCTAAACATTATAAGAAAATTGGCATGACATTTTCGGTGTCGCAATAATTTCGTGTTCGCCCTTTAAACTAAAGGAGAAAAATCTATACAACTCTTTAATAAAGAAAATCCCAAAGGCTTGGGATTCGACGATTCTCTTTTGTTAATAACTCGCTAGATTAACATTTTTCGGTGCGTTTGTTGATAGCCAATACAACCTGTTACAACTCTGCATTGAACAAATTCTAAAAATTGTTTCGCTTAGCTGTAGCAATGCAAAGAGAAAATCGATGAAGAGAATCGATCGTCGCGTATACTGCCGATACTCGCATAATTGTCCCATCTTTGCTTGAATTCCTATTCATATGGGACAGTTATGCTTTTATGGGCAGTAATACGCACTTATGCATGCTCACTGTCGAGTTATAAAAATAATCTGTCGAACTTAAACTTCGATTGTCTCAAAATGGTGGATATGTTACTTTGGAATTACCGATGGAAATTGGCAAGATGTTGAATGAAAAATGCTTTTTATTTGCGTTGTGAAATTCCTTATTCTGATGTAAACAAACGGTTTGGTTGACGTTTCCTCTCGAACTCGCGTGGTGCACTCTACGTTGGTGGTGCATTAAAAAAGCCCTAAGATTGGTTTTCCATGCCCCGCCTTTAAAAATTGAGTACCAATCAAGGTAGACAGGCAAAATGACCGAAGTAACAATCAAGAACCCATCATTCTAAAGTGTACATTGAACAATTTGTTACCTATGAATAAAAATATTAAATTAAATAAATTTAAAATTGCTGTTTTCTTTTTCTTTTTTCCTTGATTTTTTTCCGTCGATCATCGTCGATTGGTACTGAGTACCAATGCTACCGACGCTAGGGAGGCAGCTTCCACACCTGAACCCTACCTATCGACCCATCAACTCTATAGTCGCTACATTCATAGTCTGGCGGATAGAATTTCGATCTATCAAAAAGCGGAACCAATTCAATATATTTAAGAGCAACAATTGAAAAGGTACTATCAACTTTTATAAACAAAACGTGGATTATTCTTTCTTCGCCAATCTAACGCAAATTACCAGCATCATCGGATAAGAGAAACTTTCTCTAACCCAAAGATGGTGTTAGTTTGCGTAGACGAGCCTTGAGTCACGAGAAAAGGGTTTTCTAAGTTTGGTTCGCAATAGCTGATATGCAATTTTCTGTTGTTGTTCGTGATTTGTTCGATTGGTTCCGCTATTTGACAGTTCAATTGGTTCCGAGATTCTATACGCCCAGGGTTACTTCCACTCACTTGCTATAAAAAATGTTTTTCAGAATTATGAAATCATGAGATGGTATAGTGAAAATTAGTACTTGTAAGTTACAAGATGAGGACGTGAAGTATGTGTTTGACACATACAATCTGTCAATATTGCTTTCAGTGCGTCACAATCAGCAATTTTACGACTCGTGAGTGCTCATTCTGAGTGAACGCTCGCGAATCATAAGATCGCTTATTGTAACGCTCTGAAAGCAAAATTGACCAGTTTTATGAGTCAAACACATACTGTAAACCCTCTTCTCGTTACTTACAAGTACAGCATATCTTTATATCATCTAATGATTGCATGATTCCGAAAAATATGTTTTTATAGCAAGTGAGTGGAAGCAACCCTGCACCAGACTATGAATATAGCGACTATAATCAACTCATGTACCGGGGACCAACGGCTTTACTTCCCTTCCGAAGGAAGGCGTGATCAGAGATTTTATGCCTCAGAACATCCCGGCGGCGCCGACTGGGATTGAACCCAGGCCTGCTGGGGTGAGAGGTAATCACGCTTACCACTACAGTACCGGCGCCGCTAAATGGATGTTTTCGTAGCACAAAGAAAAGCAATAGTTTGAATCGATTAACTCGATTTGTTTACAGGAAGTGCATCGTCAAACGAGGAAGCGGTTGAGGTTCTGGAAGAAGAGGTGGTGGTGTTGGATGTGATGTCCCCGGACGCTAGAAAGAACAGCGGAGAGGAAGCAAGCGCCGCTGAAAAAGCAACAGCCGCCTGTTTTCAAGTGCAAAAATGATGCGCACTACTTCTACAAATTCGGGATAGTGGACTATACCGAGAAGGAGTGCATAAAGGACGAAGAGGAGGCCAAGAGGCGGGCGCTGCTGAAAGAAAAACAAAGAAGCAAAGGAATTGCTGACACGGATGAAAGTGGAAGCTTAACTCAAGTCTCATCTAAGGAGAAGGAAGAACTCATAAATAATACTCATTAATACTTTATTGTAATTATACAAATATTGAATAGTTCTCGGCTCCGTGGAGTCCTTTTAGACATTTGAGCCTAACAAATAAACTAATTGAAAAAAGGGGGACTCTCCATCTACACAATGGTTTAGTGAGGCGCGTTTTCATTCTCGAGAAGTTCGTTGAAGAAGTAGGTAATTGTTTACGTTTGCGACATTGGCCCATATGAAAGAAAAATCGAGAATAATTTCTTGCAAGTGTGAAGCCTGAGGCCTACTGAAACTGTTCATTTAAGTTAAGTCTAAAAATTCACTTTTCTCTATCGTGAATGTTTCAAAAGTGTTTGACTAGCTGAAAATGTTAAAAATATTGTAAAATTTCTGCATCAGAATGTAAGATTTACCACAGCTACATAACTAATCATTGGCTTCTAACTTAACAAGATGTATTCTAGTTTTCCATAAAACAATATTACTTATTAAGTATAATTGGTTGTGTTGCGGTTTTTTTGTAACTTATGTAATAATTTATCATACAAGACAAAACTATACATTTTATATTATATGTGTACACTGTTACTCAAGTGCTGTTCGATCTAACAGCAACGCAAGCCGATTTTCATACAATATATGAACAACAACTGTCTACGTAAGGGGAAGGGTGGAGGTAGTTAAGGTGTCTCAAAAATCGTCTACGTAGTTTATGGACAGCCCCTAATGGAACCTTTCAAGTACGGTCAAGTTTGAACAAGTGCTATTAGCATTAGCACTAACTTATTACTGCTGAGATGAATGACCTTTAAGGTTAAAATCCCATATAAAACGAAAACAACAGCAAACTTATGATTCAATATTTGCTTACCTTTAAGGTTTTCGCGAGGCGCCGGTGGTTTCCTGGTAGACCAATTGGTCCGAATGCTTCGCGATCCTAGCCATTGTCCATTCATCATCTGTATCGCATTCTCCGCTTCCGCTTTCTTTACGAACGACACGAACGCATAGCCCCTGGACTTGAGAGTTTGTGGGTCACGGACAATCCGACAGTTCGAAATTTCCCCGAATGGAGCAAAAGCCTCTCGCAAGGTTTCGGTTTCGATTTCTGGACTCAAGTCACCGACAAAAATGTGATGATGCTGGCTGGTGTCCGTTTTCGGTTGATTGCCGGGACTGGTTGCCCAATTCACTTTGATTTCTTTTTTGAGAAACAATCGCTTATTCATGGCAGCCAGTGCAGTCTGGGCTGATTGATGGTTGGAATATTCAATAAATGCGTACGGATCGCTGCTGGCTTCGCGTATTATTTTACAACTTTTCACTGAACCCATTTGACCGAACAACGCGCACAGTAGATCCTCCGTCACCGATTGGTCGAGATTTCCCACATATAGGGTTTTCGGGTACGCTTCCTCCGTCATTTTGACTAATGAATGTTGCTAATGACAGATGCCAAAAAAATAATCCAAACTGCTTCTCCAGTTGCTTACTTTTTTTTCGTGGCTACTGGGCTCCGCTTTTCGTCTCTATGCTGCTGCGGATATGGGAAATTGCTCAACAGTGTACCACAGACAAGACAAATTTCCTGATGTACGTTCCTTTGATCTCGCTCCGCAGATCGTGTCTTTTTCACACTTTTCGTGTGTATGTGCCTAAAAACGAAGCACTGATTTAGGAAGAGGATGAAAGAAAACTTGTTTCGCCCGAAATTCGCTCCCCTTCGCGTTTTCTAGTGGTGGCCACACACGTAAAATGTTGTCTTTTCCATTAGTTCACGAAACGAGCAAAAACATATAGAATCTTCTGTGTTCACTTGTCCCAGACTCGGATATGCTATCACACACTGGCGGCGGTCGTCTTTTCTAGGTTAATGCAGAAATAATCAAAATTGTATGATTTTTTTTTGTTAAATATTTTGAAGAAAACTTTCATCTACCTCAGCCTAAAGAGCTGTGAGCTGCTCTCGTTGCGAATGTACGGGAATCAGTGCTGCCAGTTTTCAACTTTTATTCTTATCCAAAAAAAAGAATGCAGTGTTGTTTGTTTTATTTTTGTTTTCTACACGTCAAGTTTCCTATGTTTGAAATAATAATATGCTTAGTTTATTTCAGGTTCCAAACCCGAACAAAAACTATACTCGGCACATCAAGATGTTCGTATAAAATAGCAAACCTTCGCACTTAAAAATATCACCGAATCTGGAAATTTTTACTTAACTTTAAACAACTGTTCGGTAAAAATTATCGATATTTCATAGGTTTCCCCTACAATTAAGAGAACATTTGTATTTATTTAATTTATCTATCCACGGTCCATACAAATTTAAAAAAAAATGTGTATGGACAATAGTCCATTCTAGAGAGGGTCCAGTATACTAGACCCTCTATGTGCGCGAGTGTTGGTGGTCCGAAAGTGAGGATAACAATAACAAACCAACATTTTTGGCTGGAGCGAAAGTAAGGATAACAAACTTTGCATTTGAAAATGAGATTACGCAACTGTGCGTGTTATACATGTCAGAAAGCTCAATTGTCTACGCAGGGGGAGGGGGCAAGAATTAAAAAAAACTGTCTACGTAGTTAATGAACAGCCCCTTAACTCGATTTTTGAATTGTTTCCTTTACTCCTTATTCTAATGTTGTCAAAAACTGAAGCACATACCCACAGGGGTAGTAAAGTGTGGGAACCCAATGTTGAGTATAATCATTTTCACCTAATTTTGGGTACAGCTATCTTACTTTTGGGTAGAACCACGCAGTCACTATATATACTTCTAGTTCCCGATATCATGCGGGCGTGTTACCGCCGCAAACTTATGTGGATTATATATAAGCGCCACCGAATAAAATGCTCTGCGCGCTTATTTGGTGTCCATATCGTGCAGCGATGATAACGCGCAATTATCTTGCAAGGTACAATAAATGAAAACTACTTTGGCCCGCTTCACCTAATTTTGGGTTCCTGCACTAGTGAAAAGAACTCGGAGGTCTATTTTTGAGGTACAATGGTTTCAAGAAAAACTTATTCAAAAAGAGCAACGTCTGTTTGTCTGTGCTTGTCGCATATTTTAATTCGAAAAATCCTGAGGAAATGGGCAGTGAAAGGATGGTGCTAATTGAAATCGCAGAAGAGTGTGGATTCACATCCACTGCAATCTAAAAATGTATCGAGTCAAAACAAAATGTTCGGGAAAAAAAACTACGCCCGTCGAAAGTAACTTAGAGACTGAGTCGAGTTGACCCACTTTTTTTGTCCTACAAATCTTACTCAGTTTCTTAAAAAGTGCTATGAGTTGTCTTGTAAAATCAGCCACGATAGCGGCCATTTGTGGATTCTATCAATCTAGTCATTAATGTTTAAAAATAGTTCAGATACCCCAAACCACTTGCCGACGTATCTGCGTTTTAAAATTTAAACCGGTGTATCTGATATGACGCAAAATGACGTATCTAACACGTTTTATATAACAATCAAGGTGTCACAACGACGTTTCAGTCAGGGTTACAGGGTGAGAAGTATGAATGCAAAACGATATTATAATAAAATTTTATCAAAACTGTAGTTCAAGATCAAGAAAACGCAGCCTAGGGAAGAGAACTTCTTCCATGATTTCGGCGTTTACAAGTCATTTATGCGTTTGGTACGATACTTTAGTTCAAAAGCTACCGAACGAAGTCAATAAGAACGCGTGATATGAATGTTTGCACCCATTATTCTCAAAAAACAAAAGAAGTGCTCCGACCGAATCAATTCATGTAGGTATTCATCTGATAGGTCAGCTCAAAGTAAATTCAATTGCGTTTCAATGCGTTAGGCCGCGTTTAGATTTTAACAATATCACATTTTTTTTTACTATTTATTGAATCTCACGATAGTACGGATAGCTAAATAAATTTAGAAGGCAGTGAAAACATTTCATTTTGTGAAAAAAGAAAAATAAAAGAAACCACTCGAAAAATAGAAGCAAAGGGCGGGTTGTGCTTAATGGGGCCAAAATTAGATCTAGGCCCTATTGTATAATTTTCAAAAACCCTAACCCTGTACTTAACTAACAGATCGAACAAAATTAGCAATGCCATTAAATAGGATTTAATGAAAACAACTGGATATTGCTTTCCTGTTTTTATCATTAATTTTTTTTTCTCAAATTTTAGATACGCCCTTTTGAAAAAGAATGCTTCAATTATCGATTAAATGCAAATTTTCATTATGGTAAATAAAAGCAAACCCATAATCTTGTTAATAACGTATTTATCGACAAAACATAAAACTTTGGACGAAAATATTCTAAAAATTAATGACAAACAAAAAACTGGCAGCACTGTCAGGAACGCAGATTTTCCTTCTTTCTCCGCACCGCGGGGGGAAAGTTTTCCTTCGCATTCAACTCACTACACTCACACTGTATTGTATGTTCCGAGGGGATATTCTTCTTTCTATGAACCCACACTAATAACCAACTAACACAATACACGAACACACATTCGTTTATGCTCGCCCGCCGATATTTCGCGGACTCCGTAGTTCACGAAAGAAAAAAAAAAAAAAGACCGTCGATTCCGCGGATCTCGCAAACTTCAGTACCGGTCACAATTTTTCTCACCCCACCCGGAAGTACAACGCACCGAAAGAAAATGCTCGAGTTTTCCACTAATCCGGTTGCCTTTTCCGAGGCTCCTGAATCGCGTTTCTTCTTCTTTACTGTCCAGCACTACTGCTGTTCAGTTCTTTTAGTCTACTTTGTCTACCTCTACACTGCTGCTGCTTGATGGTCCGTGATCGGCTGGTTTCAATCTCTCGCTCGGCGACAACAGCATTCACCATTTGCCACAATTGCAAATGTTGGTACTTATACAAAGCCAAGATTTATATAAAACGTTAGATGGTTAATCCCATGGTGGGTATATACATGGTGATACAGTTTTGTCACTATATGTATTGGCGAGAAGATTGCGCGGGGGGGGGAGTGCGGTTTTAGAGCTAATTGTAAACAAACTCGGTCGCTGTCAGCCCAGTGGCAGGCTCGTAGGCAACATGTTATACCGTGACAGCGGGCTCGGGACATGTTGCCTAGTGTCAAACGCTGCTGTTGGTATACACAGCAAAAAAAGGTAATATCAATCAATGTAATTCAAGCTGATGTACACAGAAAAAAAATGTAATATCGATCAATTTAATTCAAGCTGATGTATGAAATAATGATGTAATAGCAAAAAGCAAATACAATATTACATAAATGGATGTAATTTTGTTGGCAAAATCGATGTACATCGTACAACGTTATATTACACAACCGATGGATTGACCTGGTTGCAGCAGTTTGGATGTAATATTCAACAACTTTTTTCTCTTTTCGCGGGCGCTGCATGCGTGAACGTAAGCGAAAAAGATGCGATCCACAAAACTCGATTTCGCCGGAACGTATCTGTTTACAGTTCAAAGCGAAGTTAATTATTTGCCAAGTGCGTTTTTCATGCAGGTGAAAAATGTAGTATGATATTTGAGAATTTCAACATAAATGTAAGGGTTGTAACATATTTTTTCAGAAGATATCGTAAAAAATACAAAAAATAGGTTATCTATGCATAAAGGCATGTGGATAAATCATTAAAATATAAATACTGTTAAATTGTTGTACGCCAGAAAACATAAATTTCTATTTGTTACGATACAATGCTCAAACAATGAAAATTAATGTGATAAGATCAAATTTGTTCGAGAAAAATCAGTTGTTTATATTGTTAAGAGCATCTTTACAATAAAAACAACTGATTTTTCTCGGATACATACACATGCTGTTATGGATGGGACAACCTATTTTATTTTTTACGATATCTTCTGAACTGATATGTAACTTTTAGTGCACAATCCCCCTATTCTGCAAGTGACGTGAGTCTCTATAGGAGAGTCACGTCACACAAGGTGACAATTGTCACTTCACCGGTGACAGAGAGTCACATCCATTCTAATGGATAACCGAGTGGATAACTTATTCCTGACGAAAAATCCATATGGGACTGTTATGCTGTTATGGGCAGTATGTGGTTTGTCTTATGGAATGTATAAGGCGAGGTATAAGCAACAATCAATTCGAAACTAACGATTTTAAATTGGCTTGCTACTTGACTAGCCTATTGGTCCCAAGCAAACGATTAACGTATCCCATTATCGGCGAAATTCTAGTACTACACTATGTTTGTTTTGATTCGTTATGCAAGTTTGACAGATAAAATGAGGGGTTCGTGGATTTTCCTATGTTTCGAGGGGTGCATCGATTAGCTTGGGACCGAAGATAGTACCAGAGCTGAGCCAAAAAGTTGAGCACGTATCTTCGGGACCTTCTGGTCTTAGAGTTACCTCTATGGTACAAGGCTCATATTTTGGCAAAATTGTATAAGTGAAACACTTCAATCAAATAATAAAGTTTCTTGTAGCAGTAAAAAAATATCACAGATTAAAAAATTATCTAATTGCTAAATAAAAGCATTAGAAGATTACTCTGTCATTTTGAAATTATCATCACTTTCATAGTATAGTTCTTCTATTTTTCACGGGAGCTATTGGCAAATCAAGCGTCATCTAAACCGTTTCACATACATCATTACATCAGAATAAGGATTTTTGGACATTTCCGTAGGTATTTGTCTTGTTTCACGGTTTTCCACAGATCTTAACTGATTTGTATCTCAACTATTCACAAGAAATCCGTTAGATCATAACAACTAAGGCATAATTCTAATTTTCCATTTCTCGATTTTTCTATATAAAAATCGAGATAAAAATAATCCTGAACACCAGGAACCTTGCAAAAGCAGTATAGAATTATTGTTTTTCAACTGTTGATCGAGATTTGAAGCATACGCTCTTTTTGACGTTCTCCTATTCACCACCAGATGTTGAGTCTCGGTTCAGTCTGCGGTCAGTGTTTAAGGGGATTCCCTAACGTCGTCCCACGTCGTTAAGGAAAATAATCAAAACAATTTTATTAGGGTTTCTATCCGTGTATTGGAAGGAAGCTTTGCAGGTTTGATGAAAGTTAAGTTTTAATGCTCATTTTCACGAATTTTATAAATATGAAGCTTGGCAAAATTATCATCATCATGTAGTGGCGACATCTGCGAAGAGCTTTTTCTATAATCTTCCATTTATTATGTCCTTCAAGATGGCCACAAGAAGCCAAGTTTTTTGGCCTATTCTTTGCGGTGATTCAAAATATACAAAAGTTCCTACCATTTCAAACAATCTATGTTGCCAACATTGACAAACAAAAACAATGTGTGGTAGATAAAAACGTAAAACAATAATGACAACTACACGTACACCAATGAGTACAACCTTTTGGGAGATACTCGAGATACTAAATTCAAGAATGTGTTGGTAGCATTTCGAATCAGAAACGCTGCAACAACTTTGCATTACCCATAGTGAAGAGTGCAACAGTGTTGGATATGCGTACAGAGGAGTGAATCCAAATACTCAAGCACGACCTCATCATCAGTAGAAGCAGCAAAAACTGGAAGCAACACGACGATTACGAATGATTATCTGCTGTTTTGCTGTAGGTACGGTATTTCGTTGCGTGAAAAGTTGGTACAAATTAAACCGTGAATACCTATATATTTCTCGTTTTAGTATTATCCACGAGTGAGAACAGTGCATTGTGTATCGAGTGGGAATATTGTTTATTCCCCAGCGAAAAACTACAATCTGAGAGGACTCCGGAAAAAAATCTTGCGAGCACTGACCGTATCAAATTTTTGGATTTGGTAGAGCTTGCTATTAGGTACGTGTCGGGTGAATTTCAGATCAAATTACAATCAAACTTATGCTGGTGAAATTGGTTGAACATTCTAGACACTTGGAAAATTCTCAGGAAACAGGGAAAGTATCCCCTTGTTGAACAACTACGAAGTCGACAAAAAACTTTCCAAAAAAGAACGGGGAAAGTGTGTTGCCTGAACGAGTGTGTAACGTTATAGAGCACGGAGAAGAGGAAGAGTGAATGAGAAATTGCAACAGTCAGTGACTTAATAGCGAGCGAGCGAGCAAGTGAGAGAGCAGTATTAATTCTTTTTTGTGTTGTCATTCGCGACAGGCTGAAGCAGCACTTGAGCAACAACAGCAACAAAAAGGTAAACAAAACAATGCTACTACAGCGCTTTTGTGAATTTTGGTTTTGATAAGCTTGTCGGCTTGTCGGAAATCATTTTTGAAAACGATAGAACGTAACTATTTTATTTAGGAAAATATGTAACCACTCTATGACTGCAGTGGAGCCGATCTTCCTACAAACTATCTAAATTTGTTCTGTTCTAAGTTGGAAACTTGTACAGAAATTAGGTAGATGTAACTAGCACAGTGCATTAAAACTGTTCGTACGCTACATGGTACATGTACTATATAACGATTTTTGTTTTAGGCACCTGCAGAAATCCTGTAACATAATCGTTCTCAATAATATCTGCGATAGTCAGTAAATTATACCAACATTTGAAATAGGCGCAGCAACCAAACGTAAACAATGACTTTAAACAAAAATTTATCAAGAATCAAAAGACATCCAAGCAATCTAATAGGCGAGATGGACCAACTGTGGTCTTAGCCAGTCGAAAGACAACACAAAAAAAAGCAATCTAATAGCGAATTTGTTTATTATTCAGTTTCAACCTGGATCGGGTGTCAAGATTGGGTCTGCTTGTTTGCTGAAAAACGTCAGTTTGCTTGTTTGTTTTTAAAACCTAGCTGCATAACACCAGCATGTGATAGAACAAACTTCATTTATCATTATTCTCGAGAAATTTGCGTTTAAAGTTAATTTTTACATTTGGATGTTCCGCCTGTTGGTCCAGACCGAGACGGTTTTATGACAGGTGGGCAGGAACTCACAGTCTCCCAGTGTTGGTGAGTTTTTTGCCGTTAATGTTCACGAAAAGTTCACTATTTTGCTATACAGAAATTCAAAACAAAAATTTTATCTGCGGATTTGAACAGTTTTTGACCTGTTTTATACTACCAGAAGGTGTATGCTGGTCACAAATGCCGTGCCAAACTGATTTCCTACTCAATTAATCAATCTTTGATGTGAAATTCGCTAATAAACACGAGGCGCATTTCTTATAGCAAACATGCCATAACAAAATGGGCATGGTTCATTTAAGTAAACAAACTAACACTTCTTCCGACTGTTACACCTATGTATTAGCCGTCTCGGGTCCAGACGTTATATAAATGTCATTGCCTTGCACCGACGATCATCTTGACTGACCAGCCCTGTTCACAGTGGGGTCCTGGGGTGCACTCAAAAAATAAATCACATTTTCGATTGAAAATATACATGTGAATTCCACATAATTGAGAATCGCACCTCAGAATCACATGAATCTTATGTGTCCAATGAAGTCTATCTGACTTATCATATAGAATTCATGTGATCACATGAATGTTATGTGGAATTTAGTTAAAAACATTAATTTTGTTAATGAAAAAATATGTGCATTCCCAATAGCAAGGTTGCAAATACTCATTTCAGCTAAAATAATATTTTTCGGAATAATAAAACCAAAAGATGGTATGATGACATGTTTTACTTGTAACTTACAAAAAAGTTTACAAAGTATGCGTTTGAAACATAAAACCTGTAAATTTTGCTTTCTATGAGTCACAATCTGCGATTTGCTGATCGCTGAGTGAGTGAGTGAGTGTGTGAAAAATCGCTGATTGTGACTCTCATGAAGTGAAATAAACAGGTTGAATATGTCAAAGACATTCTTTGTAACCTCTTCTTGTATCTTACCTATTCAAAATATGATCAGAGCATCTAATTATTTCATAATTAAAAAAAAAAAACATTGTTTTAGCAGAAATGAGTATTTGCAACCTTGCCCAATAGAAATTATATGAAAACTTTTTTTCAGTAACAGATGTGACTAACTTTCATGTTAGGCTCTAAAATAGGAAATTATATTCCCTATAGAATCATTTTCTATAGTTTCATTACTATCGCTTGAATAGTGTACTGGTAGTTTGAAGCTAAAGTTGAAAGATCAGTGTTTAAAAAAATATTTTGTTTTGAATATTGATAACTTCATTGTACTTTAACATAGAAAAATTTGTATATTATCTTATATAGAATATATGAATCAACCGGGATATTAACATGCTGGACTCTAAAGAATTATGGATTATGGATCCCCCGGCGGTTTTCCTGGTTTCGGTAGCAACACTACTTCTGTATCTTCCAGCTATCAGGGAAGTGATCATCGTCCAGGTATTTCTGCAGCATAATTCTGAACATTTCCGGGGACGCCTGGATCGCAGCTTTCAACGCCACGTTGAGGATTCCATTAGAACCGGGAGTTTTCTTCATCTTCATTCCTTTCGCCACTACTACGAGTTCCTCGTTGGAGACTTCGACATTATATCCCTCTCTTTGGTCGTGCGTCGGGAAAAGTCCTTCCACGACAACTTTCAGCTTCTCTAGGCACATTTCAGCGAACATCGTTGGACCTCTGATCTTCGCCATCACTACTCGATATGCGTCACCCCAGAGATTGGCATCAGCGTCTCGACACAGCTCCTTAAAACAGTTTGACTTGCTCTGCTTTATCTCTCGTTTAGGTGCAGCCCTGGCCGCTCGAAACACTCCTCTACGTTATGTTCTTGCTCTCTGAACACGTCTTCTGGCTCTGAGCCAACTAGCGCGGAGGGTGCTAACTGCTAAGTGCCACGTTCCACCAATAAGCTGGACGCCGTATGTTCTTTGACTACAGTTTCCTAGGCATGGTCATGTCACATGCTCTCCCTAACGTTTCTGTCAGCTCGTCCGCGTTGAGATCCGCGGGGCCCCTGGCCACACGGAGTGCTTCAACGAAAAAATCCTTGTCGAAGGTCATCGTCTTCCACTTCCGGTCGCAAGCTCTCGTCCTCCGTACTGCCACGGTATTCCGTTGGTCGATGTCATATCGGATCGCCTGGTGGTCGTACACTTCAATTCATGTTTGCCACCAGCGACTGCAGAAAGTGCCGTCGGTAATGGATTCCCGGCTGTCTCTGCGAAAAGTGCTGCTGGTGCCTTCGTTGGACAGCATAGCTTCAAGCTTTGCCAGAGCTTCCAGCAGACTGTGCCCTCTTGCAATGGAACATATGCTTCCCCACTCCACTGGCCAAGCATTGAAGTCTCCTCCGATGACTGCCGGTCTTCGTCCGATCAGCTCTTTGGTAAATCCATCCAGCATCTCATGGAACTGCTCCATAGTCCATCTGGGGGGTACATATGAAGATTCTGTTAATTTTGGCGATCACGAAACCTTCGTATGAGCTCGCAACCACTTCTTGAATAGGGTATCTGTCCATAACTTGTATAGCCGCCATCCCAGCTCTATCCGCCACTCAGTTACCGTTATCGGAAGGGACTCGATACGGTTCCGCAGTGATTTCAACGTCGCACTTTGATTTTGTTGTCGACTGCCAGAACAGTTGCTGAGCAGTGTCGCAATGATTGAGGTTTATTTGGGCTACCTCCATTACTGTTGGTCTGCCATCGCCTTTTTGTATGCTAGGCATTTGAAGCCTCCCGTCGTATGATCGTTACCGTCCTTTTTTCAGAGCAAACACCGCGATTGCTTCGTGCAGCCTCTTTCAATATGACATTTCTCCCCGCAATTCCTGCGCAGATCAGATCTATCAGGGCCATTGCAGTTCCTTACCGGCATCGCTCCAGTTGCTTGGTAATCCGAGGAGTGGCTTTCAGCGAGCACACTGACCACCCAACCTTGACCTTGCCCAACTCCAACAGCTTATCGTAGCTCAAAGAGCATCTCGCCTTTTTGGGTGCGCCTGGTTTTCACCACGTTCTCTCCTAGTTGCTTTAACTCCGGATCCTCTCGATCCTTAAGGAGGAGTGCTGCATACGACGTTTTGTCTTTTGCCTCGACGATCAGAGCATCGCCCTTACTTCGCTCCCGACGAGGCCTGGGTTTCTCCTTCTTCTGTTCGTCACTTCTTTTTCTTTCTGTTTTTTCCACTTCTCCTTCGGCTTCTCGACGGTACGCCATCCCTCCTCCCTGTTGTCTTCCTTGTCGTTCTTGACTATTTTTAACTCCTTCCTCTCCTGGCGTTTCCCTTTTCCTCTTCTCCGAGCGTGGATTTTGAGGTCCCTTCGGCGTCTCCTGTGCTTCAGCTGCTGCTTTCTTCTTTACCTCGATCAGTGCCCTTTCGGCAGTCACGGATCTCGTTCTCAGCGTATCCTGTTCACGTTCGGCAGCAATAATGGCGGATTTAATGCCCGTCACCATTTCCTTTATTGGCTTGTGAACGTTGCTCTTATCTTTGACGAAGTCATGGAGTTCATTGAACCTCCTCCTGACCTCCATCAATTTGGTCTTCCCAAACAGCAATTCTTCTTGGGGTGTGCTACTGCTGGATTTCGGTGTGAACATCTCAGTGCCTACATTTCAAAGGGGCGTAATTGCATTTGTAAACAATGACTTTAACCGTCAATTTCTCGCAAATAAAAGCAAATAAAAAATGTTGGCGGTGGGGTAAACAGGAGTTTACTTTCAAATAATTTTCAATTACTCTCGTTTAGTTGTGATTTGGCATTAACAAGTCGTTTTAGATTTTATTAAAAAAAAAGAAATAAATAAAAGTGTGGTTGTTATAGTATAGAGGTACTTCAAATTATCCATTATCAATTTTGTTTTTTTTTTTCATTGTTTGAATTTGGTTCTTGCGCATTTTTCGCGTTTTTGTTTTGTATGGATTTCGGCGGATGTGTTTTCGGAGTTGGGTTTCTTTGTTCAATATTTTTTCATTTGTCTTTTTTTTTTTGGGTTTCGGAATTTACGCGTTTTTGAAATTGAACTTTTACTTTTGAGCGGTTGAATCCGGTGTACTTTCAATACGAATTCTTTGCGGTCAATACTTATTGCTGATAGCTGATGTCTCGTACTTACATGTTCTCGATTTTGTAATCGCACAGCCACATTGACCTAGTGAGAACCATAGCTCGTGTTTGCTGTCAGTATTGTGTATTACATGGAGAGCCCAATGAGATAATAACCTCAGTTGATAAACTCGAAAAAGTTCAACCACTTTTCCCATAAATGTTTCCTCCACCTTCCTTGATGGTGCTTTGATTGAATACCAGTTTAAATATCGAGTTAGGGACGGTTGAACTGCATCGTATTTGCTTTTCAAGAGTGTCGTCCGCTATATCTAGATTTCTACGGAGTTGGTAGCAAAACGGTCTTCGTTTCTAACCACATATTTGTTTCGTTTATTACAGATATTTTGCAAAGGTCACTGTGGTCAACCGGATCGTATGGTATTGAATGAGTACGACGAGCCATGGAGGATTTGGACGCACAAAACGAGTCGGAGGACCATCCCCGCGTGATCATACATGTGGATATGGACTATTTCTACGCACAGGTTGAAGAGATACTAGATCCTAGCCTGAGGGATAAACCGGTTGGAATCAAGCAACGTTTCAATGTGGTTACTTCCAACTACATTGCAAGAGAGTACGGCATCAAGAAGCTGATGCTGATTAATGAGGCCAAGAAATTGTGCCCAGATCTGGTGCTCGTCAACGGGGAAGATTTAACAAAATATAAACAAATGTCCTGCAAAATAAACGAGATTATGCACAAATTTACTCCGAACGTTGAGAAGCTTGGATTGGACGAGAACTATTTGGACGTGACAAAGGAGATCAACGAACAGTTGGAGCAGGGCGAAAATTTGGATAAACTTCAGCGCGTGGAAGGATTTATACATCCACCACTGGAAGACCCAGGACTAACAGACCGCGAGGCATTCCGTAGAGCATGTAGTTGTGGCTGTGATCGAAGGTTGATCCTAGCATCCCACCTAGCCAAACAAATCCGTGATCGTATTTTTTGCGAACTTGGTTTGAAATGCTGCGCAGGAATCGCTCATAACAAGTTGTTGGCGAAGTTGGTTGGCAATGTGCACAAGCAAAATAAACAAACGGTGTTACTTCCCAACTGTACAGCGAGCTTCGTAGGGTCACTGGGAGCGGTCAAAAGTTTAACCGGAATCGGTGAAAAAACAGCTCAAATTTTAGAAGAATGTGGTATAAAGACTGTTCGTGAACTACAGGAAGCTTCGTTTCAACAGCTATCGACACGTTTAGGTTACGAACAATCGAGCAAATTAAAGGAAATGTCATTTGGTAAAGACGATACTCCAGTAAAGCAAACGGGAAAACCAAAATCAGTTGGTTTGGAAGACTCTTGTCCTGCGATTTCCATTCGTGCTGATGCTGAGGACAAGTTTCGACATCTTTTGGTGCGGTTAGTGAAAAATATAGCCGATGATGGCCGCATTCCTATTGCAATTAAGGTAACCGTCCGAAAACATGACTCTGTGAAGAAAACGAGCCACCGTGAGTGTAAGCAGGATAAAATACTACCCTCCTACTTTCGACACAAAGACGGAAAACTTATATTGGCCGATGGTGCTCAGGATAAAATTCTTGTCGTTGTGATGAAGGTGTTTGAACGGATGGTCGATCTTCGGCAACCGTTTAACATAACTTTATTGGGCCTTTCGTTTTTTAAATTCCAAGAACGTAAAGCAGGATCTAAATCGATAGCGAACTTTCTTATCAAGAAGTCCGACATTGAGGTGCAGTCGATTACAAACCTCAGCAACGAATCGCTCACATTAAGTGATAGTTTCACCTCAAACCGGTCCCTACCCATCGCTATGGATTGTGATCCATCATCGAGCGCTGGTATGTCAGATACCGCTTCGGTAGCTTCACTGTCCGGCTCGGAATCAGATGTTGAACCGTCACCTAAAAAGTGTCGGCGTTTGGCGACATTCCTCGCTCGAAAGAACAGTAGTCTTCTAACAGCCTGTGAAGATGATTCTGCATCTCCCAGTAAGTTGCGTGTAGCTGACCTTCGACTAAACTCAAAAGAGTACGATCAAGAGCCTTCCAATGCAACAAACATTCCATCCGGTTCAAAATCTACAGGATTTTTCAAAAATCATCTGTCCACGTCCACGCCGACAAAACCATCTTCACTTGCAGAATCGTCATCGTTATCGTTAGGTACGCTTAGTGACGGCAGCTCAAAGACATGCACCGAAAATAACCTGCCATCTAATGTCGACCCGGATGTGTTCAGTGCATTACCCTTGGAAGTGCAGAAGGAGTTACTGGAAAACTGGCGAATATCTAATCCTGCATCCTCTAGCACATCGATAGCTAACAGCGCTAGCTCGAGCTCGAAAAATACGCTCCATCGGTACTTTGTAAAGAACGCATAGCGATGCTCTCTCACAACAAAAACGGCTTAATATTATGTTTATTTATTAACGATATGAAAGAATAGTTTTTTTCTGTTACTACAATCAATGAGTTTGGCTGTAAATATTACTATTACAATTATGATCCATTATCCTTTATGATGTCCAGTTTTTGAGTATTTCTCAAAATAAAAATGCTATCTTAGTATCAAACACGAAACTATTCTCAACAACAGGAAGACATTCAAAAAATAGTGATGAAATAAATATAGAAACTTACATTGTTAACAACATAACAGTGATTTTTTTTACTGAGATATGAGAAGAACAATAAAATAAAGATCAACTCTTGTCCACTCGAACGTAACAAATGTTGAATATTGATTTGTGTTAATTGTGACTGACATTCGAGGGAATTGTAATGGTATATTTAAGGCGGTTCCGTGTCGACTTCACTGCTAAAAGAAATAAGTTTCGAAAATTAGCTGCGCCGGTGGTGTAGTGGTAAGCGTGATTGCCTCTCACCCCAGCAGGCCTGGGTATGATCTGAGGCATAACATCTCTGATCACGCTTTCCTTCGGAAGAGAAGTAAAGCCGTTGGTCCCCGGTTCATGAGTTGATGGGTCGATAGGTAGGGTCCAGGTGTGGGAGCTGCCTTCCTGGCGTCGGTAGCATTGGTGCTCAGCACGGAAAACAAATCCAAAAAAAAAAAAAAAGTTTCGTAAATTTCGATTTTTTTGTTTTCGAAAATAATTGGTTGTACAGTTATAGTGTCTGTTCCTTGTTCCTAGCACAGTCCACTTTTGAATTCCATACTTTTCTATTATTTCTGAATACAGTTTATTGTTGTCTACCCCAAATGCAAAAAGTGCAGCAATCAAGCCCCGCTTCTTTCGAAAACGATCTCAATAATAATAATAGTACCATAATGTTTCCAATCACCACTCATTTTTTATTACTAAAGCTAAATAAAAAAAAAGTTGGATACACCAATATCCCTGTTTTGAAACGATCGGATACGTCATGAAATAAAAAAAAGGATAATTCTAGATAGAGCTGGAATTAGGGCGTAACAGCTTTTGTAAACAATGACTTCTATCGATGATTTCTAGGAATCCAAGGCACGTCCACGCAGACCAACCTAACCACCGGATAGGGAAAATCTTTCCCTACCCGATGAGGATGTTGGTTTGCGTAGGCGAGCCTTGAATTTCTAGAAATCACCAAGAGAAGCCATTGTTTACAAAAGCTGTTAGGCCCTAATTCCAGCTCTATCTAGAATTCTCGTGTCACTTTTCATATACATAGACCAATCCTACATTGATCGATTGTCTTATCGACTCTCTGTTTTGTAAATAACTCGGCTACAAAAACATTTTTGTCGTAGGGTTAAAGGATGACTTTGGCATCCATTGACTGTTTTGACAAAAAAAAAATATATACATTAATTTCACTGTATTTTCTCACCAGAACTTCGCTGAATATATTCAAAAGATTCCTTCAGCTTCAATCTGGTTACATTTTTACGACTGAGCAAACTTGTTATGCCAGGTTTTTCTTCGGCTTAACTTCTTTAAATCAGTGTTTCGCCAGCCCCCTACAATTCGTTTAGATTACTCGTGTTTTCAAGCTGAACATTGCATTAGGTTCTAAGTAACATTGACAGATTCCTATCATCGACTTTCTCTTTGTATCAGACATTCCCAGGTATTTTCAGCACACAGTTCGATAATAGAAGCTTTTATCTAGCATCTAATACGACAAACATAACAAGAAACGATTATGTGAACGATGTGAAGTGATTATTAAACGAAAGAGAAAGTCGGTGAAGAGTATCGATCAATGTTAGTTTAGACCTAATGCAATGGTCAGCTTGTTTTGCTCGTGAGCAAATAATCTGATGCAAAAATGGTGAATATATCACTGTTTATTGACGCGTATGATGGAGATGGGCTTCATATGACGAAGCAGTGCAACACCCTCCTCCTATTTGCGAGTTGTGTATGCTCTGTCACTAGTAAGGTGACGAAAGTGTGAGTGAGTCTCCGAGCAAATCAAACGGATAATAATGTCATCCGACTCACAGAATAGTTCTTAGGGGTAAGAGGGGCATAGTGAGCATCCCGTGCACCAGCTTGGACTTCCGGCCGTTCGGAACAAATTTATTGGTGGTAGGATCAAGATCATAATGATATTGAACTTACTACCAGTTGATTTGTTTCATGCAGCTAGAGATCCAGGGCCAAACTGTGGGATGCTCAATATGCCCCACCTGTTCACTATGCCGATCCTCCCCCTACATCAAAAATTAAATGGGGTTTATTTGTTTAGTTCTAAAATGGGGTTTCGGATATACATTAACGATGGCCACAATTTACTTCTCAGAAAGTATTATTAGGTACCGTAAAATCATACAATTGTTGTGAGTTTTGTGAAATTACTTTATAATAGATCTGTTCAATGAATGTTTATTGTAGTTACATGCTCGTTTCTGCTTTACTGAGCCATGTTAACAAATCTGATAAATGAAACATCCTGGAAATAGTTATATTTTTATCGTTGAACGGACCTAATCTAGGCTGATGGACAAATAATCTTTCCAGATTACCCACGAATTAATGTTTAGTATCCAAAACATTTTTAAATAATCGGTAAACTTCTTCACCAATGAAACACAAAAAAAAAAATGCCGACCATTTGGATCCTTTCGTCGTTTTAGTATCTTCCTTTGCGACCATTATCGTTACGTTCGGGTCCCTTACGGTCACGGCTTCTCGATCGACGACGATCACGAGGAGACCGATCACGACCTCCTCCTCCACCACCACCTCCACCAGCTCCACCTCCTCCTCCTCCGCCTCCACCACCACCACCTCCTCCTCCTCCTCCTCCACGTTTTGGCGAACGGGAGCGCGATTTGGAACGTCCACGCCGTCTTGAATACAAATATCTTCGCAGTTCGCGAGAAATTGGTTTCAGATGCATAAAGTTGCAAAATCCCGAACGGGTACATTCACCCATTTCGTACTGACGACAGCAAGCTTCGCGGAAATCTGTCACCGGCGAAAGTTCCGAATAGACAGGACGTCCTCCAAACCAACGGTTGTTAAGATCTTTAGCCGCTCGTTCAGCATCTTCTTCGCGGCGGAATTTTATGTACACATTTCCAACCAAATGATCTCCCAGATTGTCGCAAACATTCATCTCTTCAATTTCACCATACTTGTCCTCGCATTCGACGAAAACGTCCTCGAAGAAATTGTCGTAATGTTCCTGCATTTCTTCATCCGAAACGTTCGCTACCACTAAAATCACAATAAAGCATTCTTAGAAATAATCCTGGCAACACTGAGCGTTTCATTCGGCGGCATACTTACAATGACTACCATCAGCAGATTTAGCCGAATTCTGAGGATTCACATACAAATTCTGTAACAAACATGTTTGTGAGAACGTAGGTTTATTATGAATCCGCGAACAACGATCCCCATGACGGCATGCTCCAATCTTGAAGTAAAACGAACAGTTGACCCTGCAAAGAACGAAAATTTCAAACAACCATGAGAGGCATGTGAAAATCAGTTCTTCTGATATATTATCAAATTTACGCTACTTACTTATCTTTTTCCGTGCCAAAAATGGAGGCCAGATATTCAGCCATCGTTCATTGATGTATTTTCGCGGTTATCTGATCTATTAAGATCGTTTCAATGTTTTTTGAACTTCCGCAGTAACAACCAAGCGAATTTTTCTGGAAGCAGAGTAAAAATGGCGAACTGACTCCCCGATCCGACAGTAGTTGTTGTCAATTTTACAGGGTGATGGTGATGTGAGAGAATAACGATGGCGAACGCCCTTCAGAAAAAAAAAACTACAGTATCCCCCCGCTAATCCGACAAATTTGTGGCCGGATTAGCGGGGTTGCGAATTGCGTTTTTAACCCGCATAAACGCGAACCATCACATGACCTTACCGATAATGGTTATAAATTGTTTATAATCCCTGCTAAACTTCAACTGAAATGGTTATGGAACTTTACATGAACGTTTAATGATAAAGTTTTAACCTTAAGTATTATAGTTTTTTGGAAGTGGACCTTACAAATAATGGGTTGTTAAGAACCATTACCATTCAAAATTCTTGTTTTCTCCATACATTTTCGGAAAGAGAACTATATTAGAACGTTTTTACTTATGGTTTGAGAACATTAATGGTTATGGTTATGGTAGTCAGTAAGGTCCATTAATGGTTTTGTATTATCGCTCAACTTTACGTGAAATATATCGTGAATTGGTAATCAGTAATTTACAGGCAACCAATTCGCGATATATTCCACATAAAGTTGATCGATGTTACAAAACCATTCATGGACCTTACTGGTTACCATAACCATTACCATTAATGTTCTCAAACCATAAGTTAAAAGGTTTTAGTATAGTTTTCTTTCCGAAAATGTATGGAGAAAACAAGAATTTTGAATGGTAATGGTTCTTAACAACCCATTATTTGTAAGGTCCACTTCCAAAAAACTATAATACTTAAGGTTAAAACTTTATCATTAAACGTTCATGTAAAGTTCCATAACCATTTCAGTTGAAGTTTAGCAGGGATTATAAACAATTTATAACCATTATCGGTAAGGTCAATTTATGGTTCGCGCTTATGCGGGAAGGGTATCAATGAAAATGCATATTCGTAATCTGCATTAAAAATGGAACCCAAACCCAAAATTTCATCAATTTTGGTACACTCGAACTATTTTAAATAAGTACGAATAAATTTGCAAAATTCACCTTATTAGCGCCCCTCGGTGTAACCTTTGTATGAGAGCGAGCTGTCCGTTGCACAGTTTAGTGTCAAACAGTGATGTTTTGTTTGCTTTAAATCTTGATTGTACGTTCGAAAAAAAAAAATATCGATGTGCTCAGAAAACGAAGCTTTTGAGATGATATAAAAACCGATATATTTTTCAAAATTAAAGATGATTTTTTTTTGCTGTTAGAAATGTCATTCGAAAAAACAAAAATAAACAACAAAACAAAAACAAACTTATCGGAGGCTCGGTAATAATAATATAGTTTGCCAAGGTAGTTTGTTTGAATCCGCTCCTCCCTTATACTAGACTATACATTTTATTCGATTGTTTTCAACCGCATTTGTAGTAAAATAGAAAGCTGCGCACCGATAGTTTTTTTGCTGGCAATATTTTGCAGCTGTAAATACCATTATCGTGGTATTCTTTTTACATCCGAAAGTTTTGATAAAAGCCATTTGTAAACAATAACAAATCACCATTTCCACTTCGCTTTATTTTGGATGTAGGAAATTTGTACTTTTCATTTCAAAATAATCTATTTTCATTCGTATATTGCAGTCGGAAGTAAAGTTATCCACTTCAATAAGGAGCAGCATCATTTTGTTGATCGTTACGAAACAAACACCTCCCGGTCTGTCTGTGGAATGTACCGGAACAAAATACCTGCATTGGCGTGTGGAATGAACGGGAGATACGATTTGATAATTTTATGCTAATTGATAGGAGAAACCTGCACAAATAAAATTCCACACATTTTTATTGACGAATTTCGATATGAAATTCCACACATAAACAGAATCCACCCAGAATCACACATAAAATTTATGAGTCAAATGAATAGTACGTGTGGTTATACATGGCTTTTATGTGTACACATATTAAGTATGTGTCCGACACATAGATATTATTTGTTGATCACATTGCAAAAAATCATGTGTGGGACACATAAAAACAATGTTTGAAATTTTATCAGTGTGGTGCAGTGCGAGTGTCCGTTTTTGTTTAGCTGGGTTAGGTGCGGAATAAGGTCCAAATCATAAGAGTATAGTCTATCTATATATAATAAAGATAGCAAGCGATTAAATCCAGAGGTTAATTGAAAAACAAAAATCATCACAAAGATGAGGTAAAACCATAGAGGTAACTCCATAGAGGTAACTCTAAGACCACTGGGTCCCGAAGAAAATCATTATTATTTTTGGCTCACTCAGTACCAGAACAACGGTCCCAAGCAGTCCCAAGCTATTTTACTCACCCCTGCATGTTCTGATGTTCTGATGTTATCTGTCAAACTTTCATAGCGAATCAAAACAAACATAGTGTAGTAATAGAATTTCAACTAGAATAGGGTACGTTAATCGTTTGCTTAGGACCAATAGGCTACTAAAGTGGTGAGCCAATTTAAAATCGTTAGTTTCGTATTGATTGTTGGTAAAACGGAGGGGCAATCCATTGCTCTCGAGAATGAATCGAAAATATGTGAATGAAAAAAATGCAAAAAATTCATCATTACTCGTCATTACTCAAAAAAATACAAAATCCGGAAAATTCACATTCGACGAATAATAAAAATACGAGGGGGGTGACACATCTAAATCTCAAGTTTAGATGGTCATCAAATCTCACACTAGCGAATCAATCTTCGAACAATCTTCTTTCATTTGTCGCATCTACTTGCATCGATCATAAATTTTTTGCAGGAAATCTTTAGAATCGTCATAAATTTTCTTTCTATCTACTCAGCGTGCGCGCAGCTAGCCACAGCAAAACACAATCTTTTTTGCATCGTAGATAGAGTCGTCCCCCTCGTAAAAATACACGATAATTAGTCATTTGCACAAACAGTTCGAACATATGTACAATGTATGAATTCGAGAAATTTGCGTAAATCTATTATTTTAAATTTTAATCCGAATGATGCCACAAAGACAGACCAGCTGGGAGCCCGGCCACGCAACCGAGCATTGAAGCTGCGTTCTTCATGCGTGACGGTAGGACTAACTGTCAACAATGACAAAAGGAACGACGAACAATGATATACGGGCAGACGCCAATGAAACTATTAATATAACGTGTTCTAAGAGAAAATATTGAATTTACTAGTGAAATTTGTTGGATACTGGAATTGAAATATTACCGGTTTATTGCAAATAAATAGAAATTTGGAATAGGTAATATTTAGGTATTAACGTAAAAATATTACTCAATTACTGAATATGTTTAGGTCCAGGACCATCTGTAAAGCATAGTTGAAGTGAGCAGTGGATTCGAGTAATTGCACAGCAAAAAAAAATGTAATATCGATCAACGTAATTCAAGCTGATGTATGAAATAATGATGTAATAGCAAAAAGCAGATACAATATAACATCTATGGATGTAATTTTGTTCGCAAAATCGATGTACATCGTACAATGTGATATTACACAACCGATGGATTGACCTGGTTGCAGCAGTTTCGATGTAATATTCAACAACTTTTTTTGCTGTGTGGGCTACTGAATCGTAAGTAAGGTTATGGAGGAAATTAACAGTTTATTAATTATTGTACACCTATTTTAGTTTTGAAACAACCGATAATAAAGCTGTCGAAAGTCAGAACAAGCTCAAACGGATACCCTGCTCTCTCTGATAACATTCTTCAAAAGATTCAAATTCAACAATGAGCGAAGGAGGAAACTCTTCCCAGGGAACACCGGAGGTGGACGCTTCAATGCTCGGCTGTGTGGCCTGCGACCGTCCCAATTCAGCCGACAACTTTGTCAGTTGTGATCGTTGTGAGGGCTGGTGGCATATGTCCTGTGCTGGGGTAACGGACTCTATAGAAGATTGTGAGTGGGTGTGCATCAAGTGCCTCCCTGTTCCTGCTCCGTCGATATCCGTCACTTCTACTTCTTCCGCGCGTCAAGCCAGACTGCAACTGGAACTGCGGCGGCTTACTGAAATGCGTGAGCTCGAGAGAATGGCCATGAATGTGGAACTCGAGCGCAAGTTCTTAGAACGGAAGTACCAGATGATGGAGAAATCCTTGCAGGAGGAAGAAGATGATCTACAAAGTGCTCGTAGTCACACCATTAGGCAAGAAGACATGAAACGGGCTAAGGACATCGAAGATTGGGTCGAGAAACAAACCTGCTGATTTGGAAGAGTCTGGTTCGATTAGAAGCCTTTCAGTGAAGTTGATGGTGAAAAAGTTAGAGAAGACGAAAATTAATCCCGGATCTGGTACTCATTCCAGGAAATCACCAGCCGTTATTGGTAATTCGGCCGATATCAGAGTAGGAACCAGAATTCAACTATCACCACCTCCGGAGAACAAGGTTCGATGGATCTAGGAAAGAGAAAGGAATTGTTGCAACCCCCAGAAGACAAACCGTCTGATCTAACGTTCGAGCAAATTGCAGCTTTGCAGGACCATCTAGCGAGGTGCAAAATGCAGCTACAGCCAACGGCAAGTGATCCGAATCCGTACGGAATGTTGAAACCATGCGAGCCGGACGTCAGCAAAGGTGCTGTACCTAAAACCTGTTCGAAATCGGTTCGACCTGCGAAGGAGAGGCTGTCTTTATTTATAACCAAGCCAGCCCCCGGGAACGTGAATCCAGAAGAAAATAGAGAAACCAGTACTAAGCGTAAAGAGCAAAACCCCAGAGTAATCCCGTCAGAACACCTCTCCCCAATAAAGCAGTGAAATGCTACTAATGCACCGCAGCAACAACGCGCTCATGGGCCGCAGATCGAATCACTAGCAGAAAGGGTGAGAACCGCACCTTCGCCAAAGGTAGACAAGCTGGAAATGATAATCGAGTTTGGTACTATGGTGCAGGCACTTTGCGATCATATTATCGCTGCACATCTATACGACCATCTTGCGAACCCCACTTTGCTGAAAGATTTGGTGGAGAAACTACCTGCCGAGTATCGAATGAGGTGGGCTGGACATCGTAGACAGCAAACGGAGGTAAATTTGAAG